TTCCTTGACGTCCACGTCTATGCCGGGCACAGTGGCAGCTTCAGCCTGCAGGTTTGTTTGTAAACAAACCTTCTGTAAACCTAATGATTGGCTGTTATGGTGGTCACATTGTTAGGAATCATGCCGATAAGTTCCCGATCATCAGTGAGAGACAAACAGCTGTGTGTGCTCCTGATTAATGTTCCTTCGGCACAAGGAACCATGACGGAGAAGATTACATGGGCATATTGGGGTGTCATGGCATTATGGTGTTAAATGGAACTTGTCAATATGGGAGCCACCATCACTAACTTGTTTCTTAGGGTGCAAACTCCAGAGCTGTGTGATCATGTTGGAGTCACATTACCAGCGGCAGCATTCCATATACCTATTCAGACAGGCTCCCTTTAGCCCGACCTGTCACATTCTGTGTGAGGTATACTGCTCTATGCATGCGTTGGTACAATGCGGTGCCATTTATTTTGAATGGCAGCCCATTTTACTAAAGGAAGGCACCTGTGTCCCAGCATGCCATAACGCACTGCTGTGCATTTCTTTAACAAGGGTCAGGTTCCCTTTCCTGTGGGCTGTGATGCCTTGCCTCTAGTGATAATAAAGATCTATATAGAGGAATCAGGACCTCCTTCCTCCTGCAGAATAAATGGGCTGCCTGGACACAACACACGTTGACACACATTGATGCCACATACAAGTGAATCCGGCCTATAAGAAGCCCTGACATGTCAATCCACCAGTGGAAAGACTTGGTTTTGGCAGAGATCCGTCAATGAAGTGGAACATTTTCCACACAGGCATCTTCAGTGATTCTTGTTTACATCTGGAGCTCGGCTTACGCATCTGATTCTTATGAAACAAATTACTTGTAATTATCGGCGATCGGCGGTGGATATCAGCATATGGAAGCAGCTGATATCTCAGCCCCTGCTCTCTGGTTGCTCCACAATGCGGAGACCCTCCAGCCAGCTGAAGGATTTACAGCCATTTAAGTGGCAGCTAATTGGCAAACGGCGGTGAAAATAATCCCGGAGATTGGGCTTCTATGCGGAGCTGAGGCCGTCGTTTGTGTATATTGCAGTATTTGTGTATTTTGTGAGGCCTGACCTTTCCCCCTGTGTATACATATTCCATTATCCGAGAACAAATTGTACCTGTCTCGCTGGAAGAACATTGGTGCAGCCCACCGCCAACAATTTGTCCGATCCATCAGTGGGAGGCGCAATCACGGCCCTAGTGCAGCCGGATAATAGGCTCGTCAACTTGATTAATGCAAAACATTAGCAAATAGAAATATGACCTATATACATGGCAACGGGTTCTTTATTGTAGTTTCTAACTTGCTTGGCCGGGAAATATAAATGTAAGCCTTGTCAACACTTCAAATTGACAGCTTGGGGAAAGGCTCTACTTTCCTTATCACCGCCTGAGCAGTCTCAGTATTGTAATATGAAAAGGAGCAGCCCTGGTATCTCTCCCTTTAACCTACAAGAGTATTTTTGAAAGTATCAAACCAAAAAGGAACTATTTTTGCAAGGGATGCTTATTATTTCACATCAGGTTCTGTGCAAACCTCTTAGAAAGGCAGTGAGTTAGGAAATTAGTTTTTTTTCGGAAGGATTCTTTTCTCAGGTGCAAGGTGCTGACATTTGACATTAAGTGTTTTCTTTACGACCTGTATGTAACAGGCATGTTACCACTTAAAGCTGCACTCCGTGTAAAATCCAAAGTTGCCCTTGCATTGGGGCTCTTCCCACCCTTCAAAGGTTAAATGCTTGTTTTTGTCTAAGTGGGCAAACTCCGGCCCTCCAGCAGTTATGGAACTATTGATTCCATGAGCCATTGCAAGATTTTCACAGGCACGACTCCCAGAGACAGATGCATGATGGGATTGTTGTTTCACCACAGCTGGAGAGCCAGTTTGATCACCCCTGGTCAAGGAGAACATTAAAAAGCAGCTTTACTCACCTTACCCTCGCTCCCCCGGTGCTCTCCTTTGCGTGCTGCTGCTCTGGGTTTTTTGGGGGGCACTTGGAAATTCTAAATGATGACATCAGAGTGCCTTCAACCAATGAAGCAGCAAATAGAAACTGCCTCGGGATTACTAAAGATCTATACAGAGGAATCCTGCTGGGGATCCCTCTAGTAATAACTAAAGATCTATATAGAGGAATCAGGACCTCCTTCCTCCTGCTGGTGACCTCTCTAGCGATACCTAAATATCTATATAGAGGAATTAAGATCTATACTGGGAAACCAGGACATTCTTCCTCCTGCTGGGGATCCCTCTAGTGATAGATCTATATAGAGGAATCAGGACCTCCTTCCTCCTGCTGGAGACCCCTCTAGTGATAACTAAAGATCTATATAGGGGAATCAGGACCTCCTTCCTCCTGCTGGAGATCCCTCTAGTGATAACTAAAGATCTATATAGGGGAATCAGGACCTCCTTCCTTCTGCTGGGGATCCATCTAGTGTTAACTAAAGATCTATATAGAGGAATCAGGACCTCCTTCCCCCTGCTGGAGACCCCTCTAGTGATAACTAAAGATCTATATAGAGGAATCAGGACCTCCTTCCCCCTGCTGGAGACCCCTCTAGTGATAACTAAAGATCTATATAGAGGAATCAGGACCTCCTTCCTCCTGCCAGTGATCCGTGGAAGATCTGTGTAGGGGCATCAGGATCTCCTTCCTGCTGGTGGAAGGAGTGGAGGGATCTTCCATCACCCTCTTTTCTTGTTGAGATATCTCCTGGTTATGTTCCTCTCTTGTCCATTCTCAGATTCTGCTTCCTGTTTACCATTGAGTGTTTTTTTTCTGTGGTCATGTAGCTGTACCTTGCAGGGAGCACTGTGTATCGTGTGGGAGGAACAATTGTTTGCACTTCATATGTAACATACATTTCTGTTTGTTTCCTCCTGTAGTGGGCGAGCAGACCGTCATACGCAGCGTCCCTATCGCTTCCATAACCCGAGAGAAAAAGATCAACATCCAGAACCACCTACAGCAGAATATGCAGGAAGGACTCCAGATTCGATCAGCCACTTTCCAGGTAAATGGAGATGGCGTCACCAACTCACTTCATGGATCAGTAAGGCTGAAGTGCACAGTTGCATAATTACATTGTTAGCTAGGCTGGAAAAAAAAAACTAATGTCCTTCGGGTTCAGCCTTTACCTCCAGCATTTGTGGGCCAGAGGAAGACCGGAGCAAACACCTAGGCCAACTTTACATAGTTACACAATTATAAAAGAAAAATGTCCATGGACTTTAACATATAACAATCAAAATAATGTCAAAATCTCAAAGGTGCAAAAGGTGTATACAATTTCTATGAAAATAAATTAATTCAAACATTGAAAAATGTTTCACACATAAAAGTATATAAAAAATCAATGCAAACATAAAAAAATATATAAAATTATAAATTCAATCCAAGCGATACATAAAAGTGAATACAAAATAATATATATTATAGATATAGTGAGAAGTGAGTCCCAATAAGATCAAAACTTCCGGTGAAAACAGCGTGTTGAAGATAAGAATGAATTCCACATTAAGGTGTCCACGTCAAAAACTCCCCTCTGGGGTGCACACTCACCAGACCTCAGATGTTTCTAGGCAGAGGAAGACGAGATGACAGTCGGTGATCTCCCAGTCGTCTCGTCCCATGATCAGAGTGTGGTTCCTGTGCTCGGTGGTGCCGCTGCCCGCTAGCTCTCCATCGTGCGGCTGCTGCTTGGCCGGGTGGGGATTGTGCTGCTGGTGAGGATGAGGATGGTGCTGTTATATATTTTTTTAAATCTTTTGATATGTAGATTGGTTTATATATTGATATCTCATTGATTTATTTATTTGGTTCACCCGATTTATCCATAAGCGCAGATCAGATATATCTTATTATCTTTACCAAATGTAGGTGCAAATTTAAGAGAATTAACTGGTGCTTTTTTATTCTGTTATTGATTTTGCCATTGGTCCTGCATGTGGCAGACAGGACCGTACACATGATGCTGCCTAGACACACTCGAAAAAAAGATGATACCCTTATATGGACAAACTCCGCCCCTGGAACCATGTGATTATTTTAGTGAAATCTGCTGACCACCTCTCCCAATTTCCATCGTCCTTCTCACGGTGCAATGCCCAACACTGCCCAAAGCTTACTGTTCTCTGAGCATGGCCTCCTCCCCTGCACGTAGATGATATGTCCTCTGCAGAACTCGTATGTCTTGGTCTCATTGCCTTGGAATTTGTGTCATATTGAAGAAAACGCTTTTCTAACTGACAACAGATAACGCAGTGTGAGCAAAACTCTAGATAACAGAGGTGCGGCTATCAGCTCCCCATCTGACCTCCAAGGTTATCTGGAATGCAATCACCTCACTGATGTCTTAATATTGTCTGTCTCCTCAGATTCTTCATCAATGAGTGCTTGAGTAATCATTACCTTTGTCACCTGTGACTCGAACTAAGATATTGCTAAAGTTTATTATGCTTATTTTTCACCTTCCATGTTTCCTTTTCCCCCGTCGTCAACATGCTAATGAAAATTTAAATGAAACATTTCCGTTTTCATTACATACCTTGATTTAGGCCTAGTGATGTCATCACCGGGTCTTTGTGCTTCTCTATGTAATAAAGGCAGGCTGATAGGAGGGGCCGTCAGGATGCTCTACATAGCTACCTGAAAACATCACAGCACTTGGGAGGAATTACGCAAATATCAAAATGCCTTGATGGATGGGCGCCAGTCTGGAGGAATGAGTGTTTGTAGGATAGGTGGTTGTCAGTCTGGAGGAGTGGGTGTTTGTAGGGTAGGTGGTGTCAGTCTGGAGGAGTGGGTGTTTGTAGGGTAGGTGGTGTCAGTCTGGAGGAGTGGGTGTTTGTAGGGTAGATGGGTGTCAGTCTGGAGGAGTGGTGTTTGTAGGATAGGTGGTGTCAGTCTGGAGGAGTGGGTGTTTGTAGGATAGGTGGTGTCAGTCTGGAGGAGTGGTGTTTGTCGATAGGTGGTGTCAGTCTGGAGCAGTGGGTGTTTGTAGGATAGGTGGTGTCAGTCTGGAGGAGTGGGTGTTTGTAGGATAGGTGGTGTCAGTCTGGAGGAGTGGGTGTTTGTAGGATAGGTGGTGTCAGTCTGGAGGAGTGGGTGTTTGTAGGATAGGTGGTGTCAGTCTGGAGGAGTGGGTGTTTGTAGGATAGGTGGTGTCAGTCTGGAGGAGTGGGTGTTTGTAGGATAGGTGGTGTCAGTCTGGAGGAGTGGGTGTTTGTAGGATAGGTGGTGTCAGTCTGGAGGAGTGGGTGTTTGTAGGATAGGTGGTGTCAGTCTGGAGGAGTGGGTGTTTGTAGGATAGGTGGTGTCAGTCTGGAGGAGTGGGTGTTTGTAGGATAGGTGGTGTCAGTCTGGAGGAGTGGGTGTTTGTAGGATAGGTGGTGTCAGTCTGGAGGAGTGGGTGTTTGTAGGATAGGTGGTGTCAGTCTGGAGGAGTGGGTGTTTGTAGGATAGGTGGTGTCAGTCTGGAGGAGTGGGTGTTTGTAGGATAGGTGGTGTCAGTCTGGAGGAGTGGGTGTTTGTAGGATAGGTGGTGTCAGTCTGGAGGAGTGGGTGTTTGTAGGATAGATGGTGTCAGTCTGGAGGAGTGGGTGTTTGTAGGATAGGTGGTGTCAGTCTGGAGGAGTGGGTGTTTGTAGGATAGGTGGTGTCAGTCTGGAGGAGTGGGTGTTTGTAGGGTAGGTGGGTGTCAGTCTGGAGGAGTGGTGTTTGTAGGATAGGTGGTGTCAGTCTGGAGGAGTGGGTGTTTGTAGGTAGGTGGTGTCAGTCTGGAGGAGTGGGTGTATGTAGGATAGGCAGTCCAATAAATTATATAGGTGGGCCAGGGACAGTCAGGCTAGAGAAGTGAATGCCAGACCTTCAATCACAGTCCACATGTCCAAGCCCTTCCAGTGACAGTCGTACCACTGCTCTTCGCATATGTCAGGGGGAGTGGTTGTAGATGAAGCTGAGGGCTTAGCTGTTGACTTTTGATAAAAAGTCCACATTTGCATATTAGTATTGATGCTGTTCAGTCTGGTTTGGATGCACGTGACGTTATTGGCAAAGGATGAGCGTGTCTGAAAAGGTTTATATGAAGGTGCCATTATCTTCACACATGGAATGGAAGGGTTCACTTTAAATTTGAGTAAAGCAAGTTCAACATTGATTTATACAGCACACGGTCCTGAGGGGGTTAAACGTCGTTTTTCTGCTTGCACAGTTGGAGAGAAGGGATCACACGGAGGCGTCGGGCAGAGGAGCGTTTTATGTACCCGCATCGTTTAGCCGTATGACGCAAGCAGCAAAGTGGAACCATTCCATCCATGATAAATCACCCATCTATACTCCTCTCATACATGGCAGACGTAATAATGTCCAATTCTGGAGCCAAGTCGGTCTAGGGTGAGGACACTTAGGGGCCCGTACTGGAGTCTGTAAAGACATCAGCAGTATACATTGATATCGGTTTGATAGCAGCAGGTTGAATCATGCACATGACATGATTGTATCTATGAAGCTCTATGGTGGTGACTTCTCTACACCGGAGTTCCTAAATGGAGGGGGTAGGAACACCACCAGTGGAGAAATACCGATCCAGAGAGGTTTTGTAACTTAAACAGCAGCTGGCCAGCCTGGAGGCCTCCAATAGACACGAGATCCACTCTACCTGCTCATATCTTTAAGAAGGTTTCTGACATAAAGTGAATGTCTGCATGATCCCAACAATATGCCATTGCCTTGGTCCAGCTCGGGTTTGAGCTCCCAGCTCCTCCCACCTGCTGCAGCCATTCCATGAAAGGACAGGGAATGCTTAAATCATCCAAGCCTTACCCAACTCTCATTATGGAGTCTCACTGCTCATGTTGTATTTTCTGTAATGTACAACTAGTGTTGACTAGAAAGCCAGAACACTGCCCAACATGCTGATTTATATCACTTGCGTAACTGAGAATACAGCATAAGCAGTGAGACTCCATAATGTTAGGGATGGGCAGTAACCCTTGCAGTCACTGAGGTTTGGTAGTGGCTACTGGTGAGTCAACCTAACTATAAAAGTGAAACCAAAGCCAAAACTCTTTTTCTAGTTTTGGAAAGAGTGGAGAGGGATTAGACCCCCTCTCAGGTTTTTATTGATTTCTGTGTCCCGGTTAGGGAGATTCACCCTCTCGATTTGTCCTGGTGACCATTATCACTGAGTGAAAGTCCCAAGTTTTAGACTGTCGCCAGAACAGGAATAGATGAACAGTCTTCCAATGGGGACACTAGTTCTGGTGACCTCTCTTTGAGGGATTTCCTCTCCCTTCCTGTTGTGGCTATGGGACAGGAAGTGAAGGGAAATCTCCTTAGTGGGACACAGATGGCAGAAAAAAAAGCTGATAGGGTTATAACCCTCCCATACTTTAAAGTAGCCTTTACGTAGCCATCTTGGGTGGATTGACCTCCTAAAAGTGAAAACCTCTGATGACTGGAATATGGAATCTGGCACTGCTGGCTTGTGTTTGGTTGGTGTGGATTCCATTGTGTTATCTTTTCCTCATTACCCAGAACAAGCATGTAGGGTGGGAGTTGAGATATCATGTGTACACTACCTGGCCAAAGAAAAGGTCACACGCTCTAATATTTCATTGGATCGCCTTTAGCTTTGATTTACGGCACAAACTCGCCATGGCATCATTTCGATAGACTTATGCAATTTCACAACATTTATTTCCATCTTGAGTTTCGCCAAAGATATCTTGTAGTGATGATGGGAGAGTCGGAGCACTGTGTAAAGTCTTCTCCAGCACATCCCAAAGATTCTCATTGGGGTTAAGGTCTGGACTCTGTGGTGGCCAATCCATGTGTGACAATGATGTCTCATGCTCCCTGAATGACTCTTTCACAATCTGAGTCCGATGAATCCTGGCGTTGTCATCTTGGAATATGCCCAATGTGTGCCATCAGGGAAGAAGAAATCCATAGTTGGAAAATCCTAGACATTCAGTATATTCAGGTCGGCAGCTGACCTCATTTTTTGGGAACATAACTTTGCTGAACCTAGACCTGAAGTAACCCAGATCATAACACTGGCCAAAATCCCGGTGATGACCTCTATTTGGCCAGGCAGTGTACATCAAGCCAAAATCTTTTTTCCTAGTTTTATAGGAAGTCTCTCCGTAGAGGAACAAGATGGAGTCACTCTGGTCAACACTTGGCCAGCTCAAGCGGCCAAATCTGCCTCTCTGACACAATTTATTAGCTGACGCTGTGGAATTCTTGACGGCCGTCATATTTCTTGTCTGTGGGGTTTCGTCTTTTGGTTTTGGCTCGGTACAGACATACTCGCACGTCCTCTGCGGTATGACCGCTTATCCCATAACATCTGCATGTTTGTGATGAGATATTTACATTCATGATATGTCTGATGGTCCTGCGCGGCATGTTTTGAGACGTTGCGGTTTGATGAGTCGCTCAATGTGTTTTCAGTTTGCGGTGTATTTACAGATGAGATCTGGACGTGTTTGTCAGATCACATTAGAGGTACAGATAACATTCTGCTGAATAAGATGCCGGGCCCCTATTTACAAATTCACTTGTCAGCGTCTCACAACCACGAGCGAGCGGACGAACTTTTATATGGTACAAATCACCGGAGGAATGCGATTTATCAAACAAAATAGTTGCAGTTACTTGTTTTGCACGATGCCTTTTGATAAGTTTGCTGCGCTGGCTTGCAACAGACTTATCAAAGACTTAAGCAGCAGGTGACACAGAGATTGCCTCAACACAACGTTAATGAAAGGACTTACCTTAAATGATGTCTCTTAATCCGATCATCTTCTTCTTTCCTGTAGTTTTCAGCCTTCTCTCCAGCCCTGCGGCGCGTCTCCGATCCAGCGCAGACTTCTCTGTGATTACTGGCGCTTCCTCTCCCATGGTGTCTGCATGCGGGTGCACGCATCCATAGACTTACCTTGTGTCTCTCCCCGCGTCACGGCTGAAAATGTGAACTGCGCTTGCCCCAAGATGCTTTGCGGCCGCCCGAGCAGTTTCCCATTTTCGGACGGGAGCACGTGGGGAAGATACAGGTAAGTTTAAACCGCTGTTTAAGCAGGTTTTTTTTTTTTTTGTTTTTTACTTTTTGCATAGATGTGCTACTGCTTTTTGCTGGCAGTAGATCCATGCAAAAAAAGCTGAGGGTTTAGAAACCCTTTAAAGTGGAACAGAAATGTTTTATAGGGGGGAGACCAGGGAAGGCAAAATTATAAGCAGGTTAAATGTCATCTTTAGTTTGTGCCTTCTTTTTATATCTTCCTCAAGTTCTTCTAGGTAATTTGATTTGATGTCCACCAACTAGCACAGGGATGTCTAACAAATTCTATTAGAACAGAAAATAAATGGGAACTGATGGAAAATCTGGACCGTAACCTTCCCCAGTTATGACGTGACTAGTCATCTAGTGATCTGACTAGTTGCCCTTGGAGCCAGGAGCTCCGTTTCTGCAGTGAAGGTATTTCAGGACCTAGGTTACCTTTATACATTTCAGGGTATGTTCTGGGAAGGACTGCCGGGTGGTTCATGTCTGACAATGTGTCTATCAAGGAATAATCTTCTTTGCAGTTCGATTTTAGGAATGTCTCTTTTTTTTTTTTTTTTCTTTCCCTCAGCTAATTAAAGTAGCGTTTGACGAGGAGGTCAGCCCGGAGATGGTGGACCTTTTTAAGAAGCAAATGATGAAGTTCCGCTATCCTGTCTCCATCTTCAGCATGTTCGCCTTTGTCGCTGGACAGGCGGCGCCCCCTATCATCCTCCCGAAGCAGAAGGAAAAGAACACCTCGTTCCGGTAATGATTTCCAGTGCGGCTTTCAGGTTTCATGCATGCCTTCCAGGGTGCCACCACAACCTATATACAGTTCAGTGTGTGGCAATGTAATTGAAGGTAGTCTATTTCTGATCAGTGACTCTTTAACTGTTTCAGGACACTTTCCAAAACTATTGTGAAAGGGGCCAAACGTGCCGGGAAAATGACAATTGGACGCCCGTACGTTGCCAAAAAGAAGACTGGAACCATTCTAGAGGAGCGAGGCAGCCGCATCGAGGAGGACGACATTTCTGGTATGGTGTGTTCATTGAAAGTTTACCTCCTTCTGAATTATTCCTTAGGGCAGACAGATGACGACCTCTGTCACCGAGTGCAGCTCAGGACTGGACCGAAATAACGAGCCTCTCCAGTCACTACAGAACAGAGCAAAACACAAGCAACTCAATCACTTCATAGCTAGGGAGGCGCACATGGGAGAAGCCATTCCCCTAAGCACTGACAACCAGGAAAGAGATTTATAGTCTTTTTTTAGAGTAGACATGTACAGAGAGAACTACATAGGCACCTCCCTAGCAATGAAGTGATTGAGTTGCTGCTGTGGCTGTCCTCCTTCTGAAAATGCTAGTTGCTTGGTTGCCTTACTTCAGTACTTGATGAGTCACTAATCTAGAATAAGTCAAGTCAGAGGGCCATAGTTACATATTTAGTGCTGGTTGTCTACTCAAAGTATGATGCCATTCTACCTGCCTAATAAGAGTGCCAGACCAAAGAACCAAGAGTCCGAATATCTTCTAATACTGGTGTTCATAACAAGACGACAAGGCTTTTTTATGTCTTCTTGTTATAAACTAACTCCAGGATTAAAATATTTTTGGACTTTTAGTTCCTTGGTCTAGTGCTCTTGGATCTTCTATTTCTGGATTCCAACTATGTCCCCTAGTTTAGAGGGTACCCTGTTTGTGGTGGGAGCAGTCATCGAACCCCACTTGAATGCAATTGACCTTCTGTACCCAATAATTATTTATGAATCATCTCCAGTGCCTCCACCTCACATGCTCCATTCTATTCGCTTGATAAGCAGGCAGCTAGCAGATACGTAAAGAGAAGTTACTAATGGCAGCTTCATGATGGGCATCTTTTAAAGAGAAATGTATTCTTTGTTGTGCTGCTCGGTGTAATTTTTTAATTTGATAACAAAAGGCGTGACGGGTGGCAGGTTAAGGCAATGACTTTGGGATTGGATTGATGGGCTAATTGTCCTGCGTATAGGTGACCGGATCACTTTAAGCTTTTTGCATATGGAAGCCCTGAGTATCACTTCCTGTCAATACCAGTGTTTCTTTTTCTACATTTTTCCAGTTTCAGATGATAACGAGCTACCGAGCGGAACCATTAAAGCGTCGGAGAAGTCCACCATGGAGCAGCTAGTGGAGAGGGCCTGTTTCCGGGACTACCAGCGCCTGGCCTTGGGGACCATCAGCAACAGCTCCACACGGATCAAATCCGAGCATTTCCGAGTGACTGCCATGAACAGGATGTACTCCCTGTGCCGGAGGTGAGTGCGGGCCGCGTGTATGTTAGTATGGAGCGAGACATGATGCATTTTTTGCTTTTTCCTCACAGTGTACTGCTATGATAACTGTGTAATTTTACCAAATATTGACCACTATGTTTTTAAAAATCTCACCAATGCCTAAGCGGTGAGCAAAAACCATTAGGTGGCACCATGTTTCCTTTCACACAGTCTAGAGAGGGTGATGTCCCCACTTTGTATTTTATACCCGACTAGCAGCCATCATAAATAGGACGTTCTACAGTCCAATTAAATCGAAGATCATAAATTAGGTAGCACCCAAGTGTTTACATTGAAATATATTCTGAAGCTGTAGCACTGTATCTTCCGCCGTAGTTCCAAGGCATTGTGAAAGTGTACTCAAAACACTCTGACGCTGCAACCTCTACCATATGGCTATAAAGCACTCACCGGATCCTCTGACCTCACAGCAAGTAAGAGGTCAGAACATGGACTCTGGTGACCCTTTTGGATCGTCCAGTATACCCTGTACCCACTACAGGTAAGGATGTCCCCCCTTAATGGAATTGCCACTCTTCGTTTGTATACTGGATCAGGCAGCCAATGGATATGTTGATATTACAGGAGATCCCACTGCAGAGAAGGTGCAATGTTACAGTTTCAGAATATGTTAGTGTCAAGATTTGGTATACAAGTGCTAATTAATTTCAGACTGCCTGTAACAGCCCACAAGCCCTCAGAGACCTCTGACCTTCTTGTGACAGCCATGTGATACGGCTCACTGTATTGGTCAGCCATAGGGGGAGTGGTTAGAGATGGAGATGAAGAATTACCTGCTGACTTTTTTATGCATAACGTCAAGGTTTGCATATCAGAGACTGTTTAGTCCGCTTAAACAGACCTTCAGTGTGCAGATCCACTTTGGCAATTTGCCTTTCATCTCCACAATATAAAAAGGCTGGGGGTAGGGGTCCTTATTTTTTTGCCAGCACCACCGCCGCCATTCTCATTTAGGGAATGACATGTCCTTGCTCCTGCAGCCTTCTGCAATATGCACTTATTTCCTGGGGGCTGCAGCAGGAAGGTCCCCCATCGATCAGGAAGCGGACTTGTCATCGGACCTGCAAGAGACAGCGGGCATCAGATAATGGCACAGAAGAAGATGGCAGCACGGGGGCCCAGGCTGTGGTAGCAGATCACAGGAGCGCAACCCTGGGTTCGTTGGGCAAGTGAGGATATATTTTTGGATGAGAGCCCAACATAACAGATAAGAGGGGAGATAGGGGTGTGTGAGGGGGGTTAAGCTGCACATTTTGGGGTAGGGAGGAGTGCATTTGACACAGCTGACGGAACGGATTATGACATTAAATCTATTTTTACATGCTTGGGGAATAGTTCACTTTAAGAGTTTTTAGTTGTTAAAAGCACCACTTCAAACCAAGTCAGCACATTTCCTTTATATCCTCGCTTGCTTTAATTTCTCCTCTTCCCACGTTCCCGGACAAGGATCCCCCGCGATATGTGCCAGGAAGGGTGTTCACAGAATTATCACACCCACCAAATGGAAGCTCATGCTCTATGTATTATGTTTGATTCAATTAAATCTCCCGTCAGGTTTTGTCCATCTGTGACGTACAAGTTTTATTTTCATGTCACTGCACAGAAGACCTTTCACAGAGTTCCGTGTTAGAAGCATGTGAGCTCCCAATGTGTGGCAGAAGAAGGACAGGTTGCTGCACATATTGTTAGCATAGACAGAAGTGTTTGCATTTTGTTGACCCATTTAACCTATGTGGTGTAAAGGTTGTGGTGCCCTGTGTGAATTTTTCAACGGTTTGTAATTCAGAAACTGTCCAGCTGCTGAATTCTTAGTACACTTGTATACTAAACATTCCTCGAGTTTAAAGCAGCACCCTGGTGAAAGTACAGTTAAAAAAATAAACTGTAGGAAGTGCAGAACTCAAACTCCTCTCCTCATTTTAATGTAAACCGTTACTAATGGCAGCCACTCTTCTATATGTTTCTTTAATGCCTTGCGCCTCTCAAGCACCATGTTGGCTGCCATGTACACACCTCCTCCTCTGGTCTATGAGTTCTGATAGTGCTGGCAAAGCCAATACTTGGAGTGGTGTACATGTAAAAACAGACACACATTGGTTTGGCTAAAGTAATGCTTACATCCTGCTCACAATATGATAGTGCTGCATTGCATATAGGATATTGTACCAGAGCCTTATGTCACTGTAACGTGATGAATTAACTCCCTGTTTATCCTCCCCAACGCCAGTGTTGTCTATAATCATGCTATTCCTGTGATCCTGATTGTCAAGAGATTTGTGCATGGAGGGCAAAGCAACAGGTTCATTTTAATGCTCCGCAGCTTCACATACTTAAAGGGTTATTAAACCCTTGTGTGTTTTTGCATATATATATAAGGCTGGCAAGCAGTAGATATATGCAAAAACATTTTTTTTTTAAAAAATGTAAAAAGGGTTTACACTTACCTGTGTACATCTGAAGAGTCTCGGGCGGCCGCAAAGGATCTTGGGGCGGGCACATGTGCACGATGTTTGGCCGGGAGACGAGGAGAGACACAAGGTAAGTCTATGGAGCAGCGTGCACCCGCACAGACTCCGTGTGACAGCAGAGAAGAGGAGGACAGAGGAGTCGGCACTGGATTGGAGACCCGCACCAGCGCTGGAGGGACAGCTGAAAAGGACAGTAAAGAAGAAAAAGATCGGATTAAGAGACATCATTTAAGGTAAGTCCCTACAGCAGGATTGGGAAGGAGGGAATAAATGCTTTGACTTTTTAATGTCACTTTAACTTTCCTTCCCTCCTTTGCTGCTTCTCAAAGAAAGGATCAGGGCTCAGGATACCTGCATGTGACAGCACTGTGCCAATCATGTTCCATTTTGCTTCTTCATACCCAGAAGTACCGAACCTTATCACCTTAAGTTATGACATTCCACCTAAGGATAACTAGAAGATATTTTTAGTTAATACACATTCTGAGTATTTTTGTGACAAGGATAGCGGGATTGGACCCCAGTGATTGACAAGTGCAGAGAGCTGTGCATACATTGATAAAGCAGACATATGTGGCCATAACACTAACTTTTAGCCTTGCTCTGTGGGTGCTTTTACTTTTTCCCTGAACCAGCATTTCTCACTATTGTCCATCTTGCATGAAATGACTCTTTCTTCCCATCTTCCAGTTACCCCGGTCTCCTGGTTGTGCCGCAGTCAGTTCAGGACAGCAGTCTGCAGAAAGTGGCCAGATGTTACCGACATAACAGACTTCCGGTGGTCTCCTGGAAAAACTCCAAAACAAACGCTATCCTACTTCGGTCCGGGGGCTTCCACGGGAAGACGGTCGTTGGGCTCTTTAAATCTCAGAATACGCACCCTGCAGGTGAGTGCCGGGGGTCGGAGGAAGGCACAGACTCATAGCCCTGGAGGTTGAAGCTCCACACCAAATAAAAGTTTACTCCAATGACAGATTGCAATAAAGCCAATGCATGTTGGGCTGTAACGGCACCCTCTTTATCAGGGCTTAAGAACGTAGAATGATGTCTGTGGACTCTGTAATCATTATATAGTTGTGACTTATTAAAGAGTTATGAGTTTGTACAGCATGCGTCAGCAACTGGTTCCAGCAGGACCGCTTAAAGCTGCTGCATACTCGTAACACTTTATTAAGACTCAACTATATATGGAGTCCACATACACCATTTGATTTTCTTGATCCCTGATGGAGGGGGAGTTTTTGCCCCCAAAACGAGTTGGGCTTTATAAACAAACTGCCATAATAATGAACTTGTGTTAGGACTTGAATATCACAGTGTGATGCTTCAATTCTGAATTTACTCATCCTTATCGCAACCCAAAGTGATCGTGGAACGCCGTCAATTTGCAGAAGCGGCCAGCCTAATATTCCAATTCCCTGTATTTGCACCACCTCCAGACTATTATATAATAACAATAATATAAAATGAACATGTTAAGAAACCTTGGGGTTCCAGCGCCATTCATCCACCTTCCCAAGTGAAGATATGAAATTGCTGCAACGTTATAATGTCCAGGCAGATGACTGCACTGGTGTGCCACCCATGTGTATTCTGTGATCTGATTCACTCTGCTTTGTCACTCTTCAGCTCCAGCCTCATCTGTCGAGTCATCAAGCAGTATCGAGCAGGAGAAGTATTTACAAGCCTTGCTGAACGCCATCTCTGTCCACTACAAGGCAAACGGAGGAAGCACCATGACCATCAGGCCTACCTTGGCCCTGTCACCAGGTACAGCCTGAAGACTTGTCATATATGGTTCTAAGTTCTAGGTACAAGATGCCCTGGGTTCCTCCCCCTTCCTCTGTGCAGCCATCAATACTCCTTCCTGTTGTGTAATAATTGTGTGTTTGGTATTGTACCCACAGGCAGCAGAATCTAATGGCACCTCTGTGCTTTGTGCTTCAGGGCTTGGAGTCCATTATAGGTCTCTGGTGAAGGCGGGTATCAATATTGATTGATACTTCAGTGCTGGACCAACTTCCAATACTACATGAAGCCTCTGAGGTGTGCTTAGAGTGTAGCAAATTATCAAGACACCCTTCTGTAAATTCGTATTGCTTGGACTTCACTCATTTCACTTCCTTTATTTCAGGTTAAGGATTCAGAAATCATTGAATCCAGAGGCTCAGCATGCCAGCAGGGAATTAACATTTTAGGGTCAGCAGTGGCAGCCCCCATATTGCTTTAAAGACAGGTATCCTTAAAGTGTATATCAGGGTAAAATAAACAATAAATTCAGTTCATCTCTGCAGTACATGGACATTTCCCCATGTTTTATCTCTTTAAAAATGCAGCAAGGACCGAAAAATATTGTTGATTCTGCCAGAAATCTGGTGACTGCCTAGGGTACTGTAGTGAGCTGACAACGTTGCCTCTGCAGCACTAAAATCCCATTCACTGTTGTCAACCTTGCCCAGTCATCCTCTTCTGGACTAGAGAACGCCACCCTCTTATGGAAAGTGGGAGGTCCAGCAGGAGAGAAATGTGCATGCATTGTGGACATATATTAACTTTTTTTTTTTTTGTCCAGACATACACTTTAAGGGCTAAATGCACCTTTTACACTGTCTCATGTTACTCCCATATTTAGGGTGCATGGTCGCATTACAACATCCCCAAAACCCAAACCGCCACCTTCCCCCTTTACCGTAATTGCTGCGTGTGATCCCTCCCCCCTCACTGTTGTTTATCCCACTTAGGGTCAGCCCTAAGTACCTCTGTATGGACTTGAATCTGGGGGTAAACATTGTGCATTGCACATGCGGCTCATACATGCTGGAGGCAATGCTCTGCAGGCCTCAATGCAAAAAATGGTAAATGCACATTGTTCATAAGATCAGTGTTGTTGGATTTACTACCTAATTTGCCTTTAATAGGAAAAACTGAATGATAAAACGCTCTGCATGGTTGGTCGCTCTTGTCTTGTGTCACAGGAAAGGTCCATCTCTCCTGTAGCAGGAAAGAATTGTATCCTCTTCCCATTGCTATGATTGTTTATGTCATAGATGGCATAAGCTGTGCACACAGACAAGCACTCATTATTTATTCCATGGAATAAGTCAGGAACAAGGACACTATTCACTATGTGCCACGCCT